TTTTAAGTCAACCATGCCTCCCCTGCCCTCATTTTCTTTTCCTGAGGTCCTCATACATGTGGTGTTTAGAAGTGCCTCAGGAAGTCCCAATCTTAGATTTCTTCAAAATGATTGTTGCTTAAATATTGTGAACAAAGGAATAACCAATGTGGATTAGTTGGCTTTGTATCTGGATGGGAAAATTCAATAAAAATTTAAAATCATGCTATTATTATTAAGTATGTCACATTATGTAAATTCATGGGGATGGGAATGATGCAGCTAGATGACTTAGTGGATAGAGCACTGGGTCTAGAGTCAAAAAGACCTGAGTTCAAATCTGCCCTCAGACACTTACTAGTTGTGTGACCCTGGGCACGTCACTTAACCCTGTTTGCCTCAGTTTCCTCATATATAAAATGAGCTGGAGAAGGAAGTGGCAAAACCCCTCCATTATCTTTGCCAAGAAAATGCCACGGACAGTATGGTCCACGGGGTCACAAAGATTTGGAAATGACTAGAAAATGACTCAACAACAGCAAACAACACTACCATACATTCATAACCATTCAGAATTAGAAAGAACCTCAGACATGATCCATTTCAGGAGTTTTTAAACTGGGGTCCATGGATAGTTTTTAGGAAATCCACAGCCTTGAATGAGAAAATAAAAATTACATTTTTTTCTCAATATAATTGATTTCCTTTATAATTCTATATCTTTTATTTTACTTGCATTTTAAAACATTATTCTGAGAAGGGATCCATAGACTTCACCATATGGCCGAAAGGGTCCGTGACACAAATAGAGGTTATTTCAACACCTCTCCTCTCCCCTCCCCCAAGAATCCCCCGAACAATACAGCAGAAGTTGTTATCCAAACTCTGCTTGAAAATCTCCAGTGAAAGAAGGGACTACTACCTACTACCTACCTACTAATGTAGCCAATCTATTTTTGAATAGCGTTAATTATGACAGTTTTTCCCTATACCTACCACAAATGTGTGTCTTTGCAACTATTTATCCATTGCTCCTAGTTGAGCCCTCTGAGGCCTAAAGTTTAACGTCTTCAAATGATATTTATAGAAATACACACATATACACATATATGTAGATTTTTTTTTTTGGAGAGCTCATTACACCTCCCCTCCTCACCCCACACCTTTCCCCTTTAAGTCTTCTTTTCTCTAGGCCAAAGATCCTTAGTTCCTTCAATGAGTTCCTTCAATGAGACCAATGTAAGATGGTCCCCAGTTATCTCACCAACCTGGTTACCCACTAGACAGGGACTATTTTTCCTCTGGTCTCTGCCCTCCACCCCAATCATTTACTGTCCTCTATTAAACAAGAGCTCTTGAAGGACAGTGAATTTACTTGTATCTTGTTTATATTGCCCTTCGAGTCTAGTAATGTATGTAGTAAGCCCCTTCTAGAAACACTTGAAATTGAATGGAAGGTTGAGAAATGGGCAATGATAATAGAGTCAATGTTGAGCAGGCCCATTTTTTTCTAAAATAGCTAGCTGGCATTTATATGGCACTTTACGGTTTACAAAACTGTTACAAATATCATCTCATACCCCACCCCATCAAAACAACCTTGGGAGGTAGGTGGTATTATTATCCCTATTTTACAGATGAAGAAACTGAGGCAAACAGAAGTTAAGTGACTTGCTCAAGGTCACACAGCTACTAAGTATTAAGGCTGGATTTGAACTCAGGTTTTTTGATTCCAGGCCTAACACTCTATCCACTGAGAGAGAGAGAGAGAGAGAGAGAAAGAGAGAGAGAGAGAAATAACATGCTACATACAATACTATAATTAATAGTGACATGCTATGCATCAGTACTGCTATAATATGTAATTATAATATATAGTCTATATTTACACATATACATGTATATATAATATTATATGTTATATATATATATACATACATATATTTCACCTGAGCTTTCTCAATTTCTTCATCTAGAGGAAAATAATCATACATACTATCTACCTCAGAGGATTGCTGTGAGGATCAGTTGAGAAACCGCGTAAAGCACTTTGTAAACCTTAAAAGAGTTATCTAAACGCCACCTATAACGTACGTCTGTATATGTGTATAACACTTCTGTCTGCTTTCCCAAGTCTCATTACAAAATTTGCAGGCATTTGCAGAATGGGAGGGGAGGAGGTCAGAGAGAGGAAGACCCAGCAAGAAGTGCCTCCTATAAAAACACACAGCTTAAAGTGTTGAGAGACACCCAGGAACAAAGGCAAATGCAGGGGATGTATTAGAGCAGCAAAGTGAATGACTATGCAACTAGGAAAAGACTTGCTATTTAAAGAGGACCTTGATTCCTGGGAATGTGGTATTAGATGCTGCAAAGTGAGGGGAAATTTTCCACAAATGTATTAAAAGAATGTTTTCCCTCCTTTAATACTACATACCTTAAAGAAACTCTAGTTTGGGCTTGTTATAGTTTTTTCCCCAAGGAAGGAATAGAGATGGTCGTAAAATCATAGATTTTTTTTTTTAACTTGCAAGGGACTGGAAGGTCATCTAGTTCAAACTCTTAACATGATAGGGGAAGGAACTGGAGAGGTAAAATGATTTGCCCGAGGCGGCTCTGCTGAATAATGAGATATCTGCACTGAGAATCAACTTCTCTTAATTCTGGGAAGGTGGTTTTTCCTTACCATAATCCTCTCTCGTGATTTCGGAAGAAAAAAAAAAAAACAAAAAACACATATTCTTAACACTTCAAGTTTTCCACTATTCGGAGTGGGAAAACATTCCAAAATATTAGCAATATTCTTTAAGGCTTTGAGATCCCTGAGAGAAAAATTCACAATAATAAATCATTGCTATTAAAAAAATATACATGGAAAGTTAGTTTGAATGCAAAGATTTGAAGGCGTTAATAGTATCTGTTGTTGTTGTTGTTGTTCTGTTGTTTTAATTGTGTCTGACTCTTTATGGCCCCATTTGGAATTTTCTTGGCAAAGATATTAGAGTGGTTTACCATTTCCTTCTCTAGCTCATTTTACAGATGAGGAAACTGAGGCAAACAAGAAAAAGGAAAGGAAGAGAAAGGAAGGGAAGGGAAGGGAGAGGAGAGGAGTATGGAAAGGCAAAATAGAAAGTTTATAAGAAAAAAAGTGAGCTCTTTTTAGTTGAGACTTTTCATTGAATCAATGTAAAGTTAAATTTCTTGCTTTCCTTCCCAGATACATCCCCTTTGCATCACAGTATATTATTTTCAAAGAGGCAACATGGCACATTGGAAAGAGTTCTGCATTTGGAATTAGAGAATCCGTGTTCAAATCCTATCTGTGCCATTTACTAGTTGTGTGACCTTAATAACTTCTCTGGTCCTTTGTGTCTTCATCTGTAAAGTGAGTAAACTGGACAAGATGACTCCTAAGTTATCTTTAAACTTTCAATTTATGCTCCTATGAACCATTATAAATATAAACTTTATTTTTAATTAACTAAAAAAATCTATATTTTCTCCATCCCACCCCCAAGTAGAAAAAGAAAAAGAAAACCTTTGTAATTAATATGCAGTCAAGCGAAACTAATCCTTACTTTGACAATGTTTGAAAAATGTATGTCTCAATCTGAACCCTAAGCCTATTATCTCTGTCAGAAGGTGGGTAGTATGTTTCATCATGCGTCTCTGTAATTATATAAAGTCTTTAAAATACAATTTTTCCACTAAAAAAAAAACCCAAATGATACACCTCAAATACCAACAAATCCAAATTGGTCAATAGTATAAACCTGGGCTTCAAATAGAGCTACCAGTGAAATTGTAACCCAAGTCTATGCTTGTCTGCTGGGCTAAATGCCTAGCGGGGGAATCACATGTTTATGCTTATTTAACTACATGGTTCCATGGATCGCCTCTTGTACCTTTGTTTAAAAAAATGGAAAAATAAAAACCTGGGACCCTAAGGGGTACATTTTTCATGAGATGAGAGGTTAGAATATCAGGTAAATCTCAACTTAAATTCTCTCCCTTGGTAGCTATGTTGTTAATGCCTGGAGCTAATTTTGCCCAGTTCAGGAAGATGTGAGAGGGAATATGGGGTAGTTGATAATTAACCAATCAAATATTTATTAAGTGCCTACTATCCCTAGAGTCAGGAAGACATAGGTTCAAATCATGCCTCTGGTACATGAGCTGTGTGACCTTGGACCAGTGCTCTCGAAGTAATCTCTTAAATTTTAAGCTTCAGACCAGTTCCTATCTGCATCAATGGAAAGAATGTCCAATACCAGAAGTTCCTAAACCACAGGTGCATAGCTAAGGGGGAAAATTACCAATTGGAAGTGACATTGAAATATGCCTCATTATTCTTCTAGAATCACTGTAAAAACATAAATTCCATCTTGTTATAATTCTGTTTAATCTGCAGCCCTTTTCTTTGTATCCAAACTCCTACCAGTAGAAGTTTTAAAAATTTCCTTGTGAAAAACCTGCTCGCCTCACTGAATAATCTATTTTCTCCCAAGTCTGGGAGAATGGGAAAGGGTTGTATGTGATCAAAGTCCATTACCATTCAGGGGGAAATAAGAGAGAAAATACCCAGGGCTACCCCATCCTCCAGTAGCAGTTGTTGGGTTTAAAGTTTCAGGTTGGCCTATTTCTTATTAGCCAGCCCGAGTTGGCATTAGGGGGCTATCGTCTGTCAAAATATCAGCCCGGGAAACAATCGACAAAGCCACCACTTGAGAATGTTGAGTAAACCCAGTAAAGTGCGGTCAAAGAAATAAATGTGCAACCTGGCACCCAGTGCCAGCCCAAGCCGTGAGAACCACTTATGTGATAATTGTCCCTCCCAATTTCTTCTGCTTTGTAAAACATTGCCCTGGGCTTGTCTTTCATTACAGGAACTGATCCCTTTTTGACAAACTGAAATACACACCCACCCTAAAACCCTCACCAGCTGACAGTGGAGGAATTTGGGTGGGAAAGCTTTCCCTTTCCTAGTAGCTACCAACAGTTTCAGGTAATCCCAGACTCACCTCAGGTCGTGCAAAGAGGCAGACCCTTTCTTGAGAAAAAAGGGGCATGTTAATGTGTAGTCATTCACTGAAGAGGAGATAAAGAAATGGTTCACCTCCAAGACTCATAAACCCTGGATGCTGAGGCTACCTGTCACATCAATTCCTCATCTTGAAGGTACCCCATCTTCTGCTCTTCTGTAGGAAAAAAATGGTGGGATGTGGAATATTCATTAGGAAAAGAAGAACATGAGTCAAGGGACAACCAAGAATAAATGAGGTCAATTGCAAGGGACCTGTAATTTCTTTAACATGGATTACTCTCCAATGATTTGATTACTTTATCTCTCAGTTTTTCTTTCCTCATCTGTAAAATGAGGATGATAGGATCATAGACCTAGAACAGGAAGGGACTTTGGATGTCAACTCGACCACCCCCTTCATTTTAAAGGTGAGGAAATTGCCCATAGAAGGTCAGCGACTCATCCAAAGTCATAGAAGTAATGGGTAGCAAAAATGAGATAATAAATATAGCACTTACTTCATGGGATCGTTGTTAATCAGTTAGTGTTTATTAAACATCTACTACATGCCAGGCACTGTGCTAAGTGCTGGGGATACAAAGAAAGGCAAAAAACAGTCCCTCCTTTTAAGGAGCTCATAATCCAATGGAGGAGACAATAGGCAAACAATTAAGTGCAAACATGATATAAAAAGGATAAATTCTGAGTAGTTTCAGAGGAGAGGCATTAAAAGAGAATGAGAAAGGCTTCTTGTAGAAGGTGAGACTTTGGTTGAGTCTAAAAATGAGATAAGGTATGTGAAATTATGTAAAAATTCTTGTTATCATTGACTAGGTCGTGGGGAATTAATAATAATAGCTTACATTTACATAGCACCTACTATGTGCCAGGCACTGTGTTAAGTTCTTTTCAATTATTATCTCATTTGATCCTCACAACAACACTGGGAGGTAGGTGCTATATTATCCCCATTTTACAGAAGAGGAAACAAATGCAAAATGAATTGCCCAGGGTCACACAGCTAGTAAGTGTCTGAGAACCGATTTAAACTCAGGTTTTCCTGACTCCAAGCCCAAGGCTCTATGCACCATGCTGCCACCAAGCTGCCATTGCTGCCATTGCCTGAGGCACAGAGAGGTTAAATGATTTATCCAGTGTCATCCAGCTATTAAGCTATTTGAACCCAGATCTTTCTGACTTCAAGGTCCTGACTCAGACACTTACTGACTGTGACAGTGGGAAGATCACTTGACCTCTCTCAACCTCAGTTTCTTCATCTGTAAAATGGGGGTGGGGGAAGGCAGAATGTACTCATTGGCCTCTGAAGTCCCTACCAGTTTTAAATTCGTGATCCAATGAAGGCCAGCGTAGGCAACTCTACAGTAATACTGCTGACATCAAATGTTGCAGTCTTCTCAGTCCGCCAAGAAGGGAGACCTTTCCAAGGAATCTTTGAAAGCTAGGCAAGTTTCTCTATGTGTATACAGATTAGAGACATGATTTTAGGGACCCTAATGCTGAGAATCAGAAAAATAGTGCCATAGAAAGAGGATCCATTTATAATCCATTTGTAATACATATACACCGCATGTTGGAAATCATGATCCATTCAAAAGCCATCTCCGTGGCCTCTTCTTCCTTCCCTCCACCTCATTCAGCTCCTTGAAATCTCCCTTCTTATCACAGAAATGAAATGAAAGGTTTACCAGTTATCTAACTGTAAGCCCCAAAGCCATCTCTTTATCTTTGTGATATTGCAGTTTTTGACATTATCAACTACTTCCTCCTCCTAGATTCACCATCTTCCTTGAATTTTGGTAATGTTGATCTTTCTTAATCTGTATGACCACTCTTTTTCAATCTTCTTTGCTGTTTCAACATCTAGGTCATGCCCTTTAACTCTGGCTGTTCCCCAAGGTTCTGTCTTAGACCCTCAATTCTTTCTCTACCCTTTCCCTATGCGTTACCTCCATTTGACTGAATTTAATTAACTTCCATATATGGATGACTATATATCAATCATCAACATTTTCACAAATTATCTATTGGACTTCTTGAACTGAATTTCCTATAAGCATTTCCTATCTCCCACCCACTATACATTAAAAGACATTTAAAGGTCTCCACAATTTGGCCCCAAACAATCTTTTCAGTTTTATTTCATATTTCTCTGCCTTTAAGTACTCAACATTGCATCTAAATAGGGACTACTAGTTATTTCCTAAACTTGACATTTCATCCCCCATCTCTTGCATTTACCCAAACCATCCCTCCTGGTTGGAATGCATCCTCTTCTCATCTCCACTATTAGACTTCCTAGCTTTCTTTCTTCAAGTATTAGCCCAGGTTTCACTTCCTAAGCAAAGCTATTATGAGCCTCTCAGTTGATAGCATTCTCTCCCTATTCAATGTTACTTGCATTTAACCTTTGTACAGGTTGTATCTCTCAGTAGAATACAGTCTTCTTAAGGGCTGTACCCATTTCATTTGTATCTTTATTTCCCTATCACCTAACATTGAGCCTTGAACATAATATGCTTAACAGTGACCGAAGTGTTGGACTCAGAAAGACCTGGGCTCACATCCTACCACAGATAGTTACTAGCTATGTGACCCTGAACCAGGCACTTAACCATTCTCAGCCTCACTTTCCTCATCTGTGAAATAAGAATAATAACAGCACTTATCTTGCATGATCATTGTGAAAATCAAATGAGATAGTGTATAGAAAATATTTTGCAAAAGCTAAATACCATGTAAATGTCAACTCTTTTATTTAACTGATTCCAAAGGATGCAATACATTAAGGTCACAATAGGTTATGCCATGTAGAATTCTATGCTGTGTAGAAGCTAGAGAGGCAGGTTCTCCTTTCAAAAAGTTACAAGAATGGTCTCATCGCACAGACAAGAGCAGGGAGTCCCTTCAGTTGTCAGCCACACCCTTTTAAATGGCAGAACACCAAGGCACATCAGCACCATCAGACATGAAAGGTAGACCCAGGCTGTTATGTACAATAGCAGGTTATAATCTAATCAGGAGAGTGGCAGAGATTAGGAAGTCAAAAGGCAATTAGATTTTTTATAAACATGATAACCCAGCTAAAGGATCCCGTGTCTCATCTATCCTCATGTGAGACCTAGCAAGGGTTAATTTCCTCAGCATATTTTTTCGGGGAAAATAAATCTTCCAGATTTTGATCGCCCTTATCTCCTCACCCTCCACTATGCTTCGCCGTTTGGATGAGTTCCTCCAATATCATGACTGATTTATCATTGGGATTCATGCCAAAGCAAGGAGAGAAAAATCCCAGCAGAAAAACTTGTACTGTTTAACACTCAGAGAACTATCAAAACACCTGATCACTACAAATTCGTTTCCCTGAAACTTTTGGGAAAGGATCAATTGATCAACCAATCAACATATGCAATGTGCCAAGTACTGTGCTGGATAGTGAGGATATGCTTAGGGGACAAGAATTGCAGATATCAGTGTTTGTGACATTCTAACTTGAAAGTGATATGCTGCAAAATGATGTACTTAGCAACTTTTGATGGCAAATATTCAATAGATTACATCTGTTTAAAAAATAAAAACCAATTAGGGTCTTAGATATGTGTGTAGAAAGGATACAGATATTAGAGATACGATGGAGACAGAAACAGAAAGATTTGGTAACTGATGATGTGTGGAATGATGTAAGGACTTGAAGATGGCCTCAAGACTGCAAACCTGGGTAACTGGAAGGATGGAGGTACTTCTGTAATAAGAGGAAAGTTTGGAAGAAGAGTGAATCACTTGGCTTACCTTAAAGGGCTATTCTTTTCTACGTATGGGTGAAAAATAACATAATGCACTCTTCTGTAGAGATCAAAAGCCATCCATGCCTGCACATACAGAAAACCATATATGTTAGAAGCTGTAAATTTCAGTCATGGTATTAAACAACTCATTCTGTTTTACCAAAACTGAAAGGGGTGAGGAGAATTCATTCATCTTTCACCCCCTTGAAACTGCAGAACCCAGTACCTGGGGAAGCAATGGGGAGATTGGGGTTGGGGGAAGGCATGGTGCAGAAGCGTAAGGACATTGGGGAAGGAGCTGTGGTATTTGCTGGTTTTATAGGTACCTGAGTTGCTCTTAAAGGTCAATGTTGAGCCATCAATGCATAACCAAGGGTGGCCAGTGATGGGAGGGGATGCAAGACGAGGGAACTGAGATAATGAGTGAATGTTATAGTGTAGCTGTGTTGCAGAAAAGTCCATGATTGACTATTGAGAGGAGGCTGGAATATGACCCACCTTCCCACTCTCTAATTGGTTGATCACTACTCCATTTAGGGTCATGCCATGATACGCTTTGGATGATACCATGGCCCCCACTTTGGAAACCTCTACTCTAGATCACTATTGCTCAAGAAAGCTTTTGGCAAACTTTAAAGAACTACATAAATGGTAGCTCCTATTATTAAATGTCTATATATGAATGTGTATGTTCAAACACATAGCTGTCATCAAATAAGGGATTTTACAAATGCAATAAAAATGGTTTTTTTTTCTGTTGAAACATTAGATTTAAATTTCCTAAGGGTGCATTTGGATGTTTATATGTTGCATATGTAAAAACAATGGAAAGAAAATGCTATTATTTGTCCAAGAATATGTTGCACATAAATAACCAATGGTATTAAATAATCTGCTTCCTATAAAACAAAGTACTAAATATAGACCACAAGAGCAGGCTCACAGGCATGGTACAGAAGCATATTTGCAGAAGCACAGAGTCTTCATTACTTGAACAAATTTCTACTCTGCTCTAAGAAGCTTTAAAATTCTGGCCTAAAGACTATGTAAGCAACCTGACAGCCCCATTGCTGCTTGATTAGCCTATATAATAATTATGGTTTTTATTCATATAGGGCTTTAAAGTTTTTAAAGCTCTTTGCATCCATTATTTCATTTAGTTTTCACAATAACCCTGAGAGGTAGGTAGCACAGGTGTTATTCTTAACCCCATTTTACAGATGAAGAAACTGAGGAATAGGGAGTTTAAAGTGACTCGCGCATGGTTACAGAGCTGTCATGAGTTAGAAGTAGGATTCAAAACTAGGTTCCTTCTTACACATCCAGGGCTCTTCCCGCTACAACACCCAAAATATTTCACATCATAAGATTTATGACTTCTAGCCAACGTCTGTGCATGGATAGCCCCTGACGTGTTGTTAGTGTTGCTACATAACATTTAAATCCCCAGGTAGCTCCCAGACCCTTCACATTTTGACTACCAGAGTAAGAACAAATATGTAGACATTCAAGTCACCCACAGACCCATAAATAAGTAGTAACATTATCTACCTTCCTTTTCCTTTTGACATGAAGATGTCAGTATTCCTTGGCAGTGACTTTGAAACTTCATCATAACATTGCATAGAAACCAGAGCTCAGCTTTTGGTTAGTTGGACTACATGAATTCAACCTGCTGAGTTAGCTGATGGGAGTTACAACTAGGTTGAGAACATTGTTTCACAGCTAGACCAGCCCATTTAACCTCCAGTGGGGAAAGTTTGGTTGAAGGGACTGATGGAAGATAAAGCAAGAAGGCGCCAGTGCTTCCCCCTCCCTCAGAAAAAAATCCATCTCCTACTTCTACAATCCATCTTCTCAGGGTTAGCATCATCCTGGTTGGCCCACCTGTGATGTGGTCTTGGTTTCTCCTCTGCCTTCCCCACTAGTGTCCTTGGTGTTTTCAGACTCACTTTAACTCATGACTCCATTCTCCCACCTTCTCCTGTGATCTTTGATCCTACCTCTACTCCCTGCTGATCTCTGTAACTTCAGACCCATATGGACACGGGACTGTCTGCCAACATTCCTCTGCAGACCTCAAGCACATGGTTCCCACCCCTGTTTTGGCACCATTCTGGCCACAGTTGTCAGCTGCCAAAACTTGGCCCACCCAAAATGCTGTCTGGAGTCCTGCTCCTTACAGAGCATATCAAGACCAAGCCAAGTGCAAGCTGCTATAGGACTGGAATAGATCAAGTCCACAATGGCCCTAAAAGAAAAAGTCTGATTCAGGAGTACACACAGAAAATCTGTTCATTTAACCATCCATATCACAACTGATAATGCCACAGTAGTATTATGCAGTAACTTAAATCCCCACGTACCACAGGATTTTGGGCAGCCAGGTGGCATGGTAGATGGAGTACAGGACCTGGAGTCAGGAAGATTCATTTTCATGAGTTCAAATCTGGCCTCAGACACTTTAGCTGTGTGACCCCGGGTAAGTCACCTTACCCTGTTTGCCTTAGTTTCCTCATCTGTAAAATAAGCTAGAGGAGGAAATAGCAAACCATTCCAGTATCTCTGCAAGGAAACCCCAAATGGGGTCATAGAGAGTTGGACACAACTAAACAACTACCACTGTATTTAACCATTTTTCTAAGCCACTATTAGAAGTTACCATTTTGGGAGAAGGGTAACTGCCTTCAGCTAAAACATCACTCACATGATTACTAGCTATTCCCCAGAATCTAGATTCTATATCCTGATTCCTTACTTTTACACAGTTCATCACCCATGCATGAAATGTGCTCCATACTCACCTAAAGATGTTCTTATCTTCCCTCAAGGTATACTCAGACTTCAAGGTGGTGCTTGTGTTGGACCTCCTCCATGAAGCTTTCCTTGATTCCTTCGGCTGCTGATGCTCTTTTTCTCCTCCAATTACCTTGCATTTTACTTGCCCTTGTAAATGTTATATCCATCTCCACTCCCAGTAGATTGTAAATTCCTTAAGGTCAGGGAATGTTTAGACTTTATAGCCCAAGCATCTAGCAAGTCCCTTTCACATAGTAGGTGCTTAATAACTGTGTGTCACTTTGTCGAGTTTTTTCAACAGTTAGAAAAAGCAGTTCTAACTGGGAAAGAGTTTAAGTCTTTCAATACACCCTCTAATGATCCACCACAGACCAAGGGACATGGCATCACAGGCACATATATCAGAACTACACAGTTGGAATACAGTTGTTTGAGCTTCATTTTGCTCTGGTATTTCAACTCAAACTCGAGCTTTTAAACAGATGCCGTGCCAAAGGATTCCCAAGTGATCTCAAAAGCATGCTGCTTCTTCAATAGGGATACAGCCAGGAAATTGAGCTGCCAACGCATGTCAGAAACTTCCTCTTCCTATTATCCAGTTGGCTTTTTTGTGAGCATATATACTTATGGGTGAAAAGGGTACCAATTCTGCACTGCCACTCCATTAACTTTCCCACCCTAGAGACGCCTCTGCCCAGGGCCAACCCTTCTTATTGGTGAGTCCCTGACCACCGTTTCATTGGACACCCAAGCAGGAATGTGCTGGAAAATGTTTCACAAACGGTTCTCTGAAGAAAAAAAAAAGTACTGAGACATACTTTTAAGTTCAGTCTGAATTATTAACATTTTGTCCATCACTTTTTGAGTTTAAACAAACAAATACATAAATAAATCAAGCCCTGATTTGTGGCATTTATCACTTTCCAAGGTGTACATTTTGTTGTTGTTCAGTCTTGTCTCATTATTCAAGACCCCATTTGAGGTTTTCTTGGCAAAGATACTGGAGTGGTGTGCCATTTCCTTCTCCAGCTCATTTTATATATGAGGAAACTGAGGCAAATGAGGCTAAGAGACTTGCCCAGGATCACACAGCAGGTAAGTGTCTGAGGCTGGATTTGAAGTCAGGAAGATTAGTCTTCTTCTTTACTGACAAAGGCCATTAAACACAGAGTGCATTAAAATTTTATTACTGTACACTCTAGGGGTGGGAGTCAGGAGAACTGGACCCTAACTCAAGTTCTACCTTATGAAAGTCAATTGACCCCAATGCAAGAGTCTCAGTTTGCTCATATGTTGAATGGGAATAAGAATAATCCTTCATAGGTTTATTGTGAGGATAAAATGAGATTTTTTAAAAAAACTTTAAAAAATGAAAATCATGCTACTTTTCCCCCTCTGAGAACTCACAATAGTCTTGTTAGAGATGCCACCAAGGCTAGAAAAAAGTAAGATTCTGTTTTCTAGAATTTTCACTGGATTTAGAGTGAGAAGGGCTCACTTGGTCAAACCGCCTCATTGAATAGAGGAGGAAATTGAGATTCTAAGAGGATAAGTGACTTATCCAAGGTCATATAATTAGTAACAGAGGCAAAATTTGAACCCAGGTCATCTTACTCCAAATACAAATGTTCTGTCTCATACCACACTTTATGATGTATCATGAAGGTCACGTGTAACAGATCTTGAGTTTGAGCCAAATTCTCTCTCTTGCCCTTTGAGTATATGTCATCTTCATAATGATGATAACTAATGTTTATAAAGAGCTTTAGTATCTTCAAAGGGCTTTCTATGCATTCTCTCTCTTGAGCTCTGTGAAATATGTACTTCAGGTTTTATCCCCATTCTACAGATGAAGAAGCTGAGGCTTAGAGAAATAAATTGATTTGCTTATAATCTCCAAAATACTAAATGTCTCAGAGAGGATTTTGATCTAGGCCTCCTTGCCTTCAAGTTCAGCAGTCAATTCACATTCTACCATGCTGCTAAAGCTGAAGGTAGTGGTTTCAATCAATAATAAGAATAGTTAAGATTTATATAGCACTTACTATTTGCCAGATGCTATAAACATTTTGCAATTATTATCTCACATAGTGTCCAAGGCAGGATCTGAATTCAGGTCTTCCTGATATTGAGAAATGAAGTTGATATGAAAACAAAAGATATCAATAAGAAATTTGATTTTTAAATCCCAGAAAAATAAAAGTAAAGAAAATAAAGAAAACAATGTAGCTGAAATCAATCAATCAATCAACCATCATGTATTAAGTGCTTGCTATATATATGATGAGCACCATGCCAAATACCCAGAATATAAAGAAAAAGTAAATAAAAAAAGTCCTGCCATCAGGGAGCTTACAGTGTAATAAAATAGACATATAAAAGAAGACATAGACCTTTTTCTTTGGGGTGACTTAGTCTATCAAATTTATCAACTGTTGTCTAGAGCACTTTACTATCTTCTCTACCTATTTCTTCCTCCTCCTGCCTTTTACTTTACCCCTACAGAAACCTGTCTTGGTACTTCAGAGAGCCCAGTGCTCTCTGTAGTATGATAGGCTGCCTTTTATGGCTCTAGAAAGCAGATATATAGTCAGAGATTTAATCATGAATAACATTCAAAACAGTGTCCATGCAGGATAGTATACACCCTTCAAGTTCCACTCCTTGGGGGCAGCTAGGTGGCACAGTGCATAGAGCACCGGCCCTGAAGTCAGGCAGGACCTGAGTTCAAATCTGGCCTCAGACCAAACACTTAACACTTACTAGCTGTGTGACCCTGGGCAAGTCACTTAACCCCAGTTGCCTAAAAACAAATAAATAAATAAATAAAGTTCCACTCCTTGACTATTGACTGTCACTTTCTCATTTAATCAGCTTCTTGCTGCTGGGTGAGAGCAGTGGAGGGAATGTGGAGGAGAATCAGTGACAGCAAGGAACTTTATCAAAGTCAAGCACTTAGGTAAAAGCATTTTCAGCTCCACCAATCAGAGAAGCAAGGACAAGCGAGAAGAGCCAGATTGAAATGGCATATTTTCCTCCTAGCTTCTTAATTCCAAGAAACATGGTCCCTAGGTAGATGCTATATGATCCACCATTCAAAAGAATGAACTAGATAAAAGTCTTCTTCTTTCATCTACCCTTCGCAAAACCAAAAACAACCACAAACAAAAAACTCAAGGAATTTTAAAATGTAATAATAATGCCTACAATTTATGCAGTGCTTTAAATTTTGCAAACCACTTAGATTTGGATTTAGATTAAGAGCTGAATGGAAGTGACCTCCAAGGCCAACTAATCTGATCTAATTATTTTACAGATGAGGAAACTGAGATTTCTTGCAGCAAAAGTCTTTCAGAGTCATGGCCTGGTGGATGGAATGCTAGACCTAAGGTCAGGAAATATACAATTAAATGAAAAAAAATTTTTTTCCAACTTTTTTTATAGAAGATTGGAGCAGGAAGGAAGCTTTCAGGCTTACTGGTCCAAAATGGTCATTTAGCAGATAAGAAAACTGAGGCCTGAAAAAGTAAACATACATTTACTTGCCCAAGGTCACATATAGGTATTGGCAGAGTCAGAACTAAATCCTTTACCATCCCATTTCTCAGGGTGATAGCCAGTACCAAGACAGGTTTCTGTAGGGGTAAAGTAAAAGGCAGGAGGAGGAAGAAATAGGTAGAGAAGATAGTAAAGTGCTCTAGACAACAGTTGATAAATTTGATAGACTAAGTCACCCCAAAGAAAAAGGTCTATGTCTTCTTTTATATGTTTATTTTATTAGACTGTAAGCTCCCTGATGGCAGGACATTTTTTTATTTACTTTTTCTTTATATTCTGGGTATTTGGCATGGTGCTCATCATATATATAGCAAGCACTTAATACATGATGGTTGATTGATTGATTGATTTCAGCTACATTGTTTTCTTTATTTTCTTTACTTTTATTTTTCTGGGATTTAAAAATCAAATTTCTTATTGATTTCAACGTTATGTGTGGTTTTGGACACACATAGTCCCCTACCACTACAAAATATGAAGTGAGAGAAGGGAGTCAAGAGGGAAGCACATTCTTGTATCACTTGTTTGGTTAATCCTTCTCCCCCTAACCACAGCATACTCTGGTTCTCTTTTAATTTTTTAATGATATGATTTTCCATTTTGGATCAATCATCCATTTTGAACTTATGATATATGGTTTAAGAGATGGATTTAAACCTATTTTTTTTGCCAAACTGCTTTCTAATTTTTCCCCGCAATTCTCATCAAAAAGTAGTGCTTCATGAAGTCATTCATGTTTTCAGGTTTATCAAAATACTTAGTTATTGAAATTGATTCTGATTTTTCCTTGTCCACTTTTTGAACCACTAATCTGGTTTTTTTTATTTAAAAATATTTTAGATGATTACTTCTTTGATACATAAATTGAGGTCTAAAAAACATTGTACTCATTTATCCTACTTTGTCCCCCTATTATGTGTTTCCCTTGAGATTTCTGATTTGGGAGGTTTTCTGAGTGAAATTAGTTATCATTATTTTGACTAACTCTATAAAGTGTCCTTTTGGTAGTATGATTTTCATGGCACTAAATTTGTAAATTAATGTAAACAGTGTCATTTTTGTTATATTAAGTCATTCCTTCATTCTTCTTTGGGAACCACTGCTGACTCTATTTCTTTCTTCACCGTTCTCCAGCAGCCTTCTGATGTTGGAAGATCCTTCTGCCCCTTCTTCTGATTAGTCCATTCCTCCCAGAACCTCCATTTTAAGGAAGTACCCAGGTCAGCTAATGATTACTTCTTTCTTCTGCCCTAAATCATGCTCCTGACTTTCTTGAACTTCTTTTTCCACCATGCCTTCTTGTGTGTACCTTTTCCAACCTTCTATCTTTAGAATGTAAACTTTTTGAGGGTAGAGATTGTATTTTTTTCTTTTTGCTTTTATTTGTATTCCCCAGTGCCTGGCAGTGCTTGTTGACTTGACTTGACTGAATCTTGAGTGCTGGATAATTCTTCCAATTATTGAAGTCATTCTTTATTTCTTTAAGGAAATATAATTGCAATTTTTATCTACAAAGGTTTTAAGTATGCCTTGGTAGACTGACTTCCAGACATTGTATACACTTTGTAATTATTTTGAATGGGACTTCAATTTCTATTATTTCCATCAAGATTTTGCTATTGCCATATAGAAATATTATTTTGTGGGTTTATGTTTTATTCTAAAATTTTACTGAAGATATTGTCACAATTTCTTTCTTTGCTAATTATCTGTGACTTACTAAATTTGTCAACAAATAGTAATATTTTTATTTCTTTACTACTTTTATGCATTTAATTTCT